TGGTTGCCGGATTCAGCCTAACCCACGACACGCTTATATGAGTGTGCAAGTAGAGAAAGTGTTCTATCTACAACACAGGTGTGCATCTCTTATTCCTGCTTTGTGGAGTTTGGCTCTTTCTCGTCTTGACCCTTATTTGGATGATTGGTTTGTGTAGTTGTCTCAGTAGAAAATACATGTATCCTAAAATCGATAGCTGAGGTTTTCATCACTTACCAGAATAATGATGTTTTAATGTTAAGGCAACTTTTGCAGATCTTTTTTTTTTTTTTTTAAATGTAGAAGGCTTTAGGTTTATTTATGGCCACAAAGTAGAACTGGAAATATGGGAACTAGAATTATAATAGTTGCATAATATATATTATTTGCTTTATTCCTGGAAACTGGATTCAGGCCTATGAGTTTGGTTTAGACATGCTGCTTCACCATTAAAGTGCTGTACCATGTTACATTTTAAATGTAAATATTAAAAGCTGAGAAATGATCTGGCAAAACACGGTAGTTTCACAGGACGAGCTCCTGTGCTAGTTGACTTGATGCTGAATTTGATTACAGTTTATGAAGAGGAGATAAATCAGTAAAAATAATGCAATGCTCTTTCTGTAAAAAAATACTTTTCTTTTAGCAAAGGCTTAACTAGTCATCTAGCTGTTTTGTCTGCAGCATTCAGGAGGAGTCTTTCACACCATTTTCTAGGGCGGTACATCTGTTCAAGATGTTTATTTTTAAACAGAGCTCTATAATTAGATTTTAAGATGTGTAGGCATGCAGAGGACTAGACAGATCCCATTATTCATTGTCAAGTGCCCAAGTAGTTTCTCTTGGCAGTCATCTGTTTCTTGTAAATATTTATCTGTTCAAAGCTAGATATGGTCTAGGGGCGTGAAGTAGCTATTGCTTTTTAACAGCAGTTAGTAGATTGGTGCCTTTTACTGTACAAGTGGGGAATAAATTTCTGTTTTCTACTGCTAATGCTACTGCCTTATGAAGGAATACAAGCAGGTGAAAAAGAGGCTCTTCAGAATTCTTTCTTTGAGGGGTATACAGCCACCAGCCATTGTGAACCCAGAGAGGCTGTGCTGGTGCATCTCTCCTTCTGCCTCTGGCAAAAAGCAGTTGTAAGATGGCACTTTATAAAAGTGTTTTATCTATCTGTAAGGGTTAACAGCACTGTTTGCAGTACTTCGGAAGTTAAATCTTTTAAGTAGCTCAGGCTGCACATAGGTTTGAATGGTGTTCTAGCATCTTGTGATACACATGCAAGTAATACCTTGCAGCAGCCTTCAGGGAAGAAAGAAATTGAGACTGCGGGTGTCCTAGTTTTTCTTTAGCATAATCAAATTTGCCGTTAGAATCCAAAATACTTCAAATAGAAATGAGCTGGCATGGAGCAGAATCTGTCATTATAGAGTGACCAAAGCATAGTTCTACTTTTGGGAAGTGTAATCGATACTCTTTAAATGGAGCAGAAATTTTAGGCTTGTCTCTATCAGCAGGAGACTGAATCTCTCCTTTTCTATTGTAATGCCGGGTATAGCATGTGGAAAGAATTTTTGTGGTGGATTTTGCAGAATAACCTCTTTGTTGAAGTTGTCTTGAGTTATTGCTGTTCTCTTCATTTAAATTGATACTTGTTTAATGTCTTTCAATATTATAACAGGTTGCCTGATCAAGGAAAATTTAATGTAGCATAAATAAAACAGAGGTGTTTCCTCGGAGAGACCAAGGTTCCGTCCCAAATTTTTAACTAATAGAAGAATTGTAAAACTATTGCGTTGCATGATTTGGGGGAATTTTAATTAGCTTGACATAAAAGCCACTGTATAAGGTTATTTGGAATTATCGAGGCTTAAATTAATTATCTTGGCATAAAAGCCATTGCATAAGGTTACTTAGAATTATTGAAGCTTAAATAATAAAACGATTTACAAAAATCTTAGATTGCTGCAGTTACCATGCTCTCAAATACAAATTCTTGAATTGCTCCAGGGTCTTTCAGAGTTCAAAAAATATTTATCTGAAATAGTGTGGTAACTAAAAGCTGTCAAAATAGCATAGCAAAATAGCATCATGTCAAATGTACTTAAAACAAATGGAACTGTGAGAAAGCAATGACAGAACAAGTTATAAAAAGCCCCTAAAACTCTGGTGGTTGGACGTGCTTTAAACTTAGAGATCTCAAAAAGGCAAGAAGTGAAGCTACACAAGTGTACCAAAGGAAACACAATAACTGTTCCCAACGGAAAATGGCCAAATACCATTTCAGATCAACCTGCAATTGTTTTTAATCTGTATACTACTTGCAAATGTTTTCTTCTGGGTTTCTTCTTTTGTCTGGAAGTAGTAGTTGGGTTTGCATACATGTGTGGTTTTGGGGTTTTTTTCTTCTTTTCCTGTCATGACTAAGGGCTTTCACCATCTGGCTTAAAGTGAAAATTCTGTAAATAAAGTTAAATTAGAAAATAACCCTTTCATGTGAGAGTCATGCTTCTGTTTAAACCATACTTTTAAACTACTTTTTTTATTGAAACATTACTTCAGTTTTCCGTTACTTCTAGAAATGCAGATCCTAATTCCTCTTTGTCTTACTAAATTGCTATCAGTGTTACTATATATGCAGCTAGCCTCAAACTGACAATCAGCAAAGGTTCATTTAGAAGAACAGGTCAGGTATGTAACACAGATAATGTTGAGATGAATCCATTTTTCATTTCACGATGTGTTTGGATCATAACATATGTACTTATAAATGATTTTTGGGGTGGAAAAATAATTATATGTATACTTTAATTGTATAGTGCTCTGTTCAAAGAACATCTTTAATAATACCGTAAAACTTACGTTCTCCGTATTCTTTTAAATGGGGTGTACGCACAAGTTAGCATCTATGGTTCTGTGGAAAGGAACCAATTCTGTATGCTTGATTTTAAGCATTACTTGATTGTCATATGACAGGATTTTTACTTTCTTGTTAGATTTGCATTGGAAATTAAGCCATTGTCCTCAATTTCCCTGAATGTTTTGATACTATGTTCTCTTTTTCCCTTTTTTCTTGTGACTGTGATAACTATTTGATGCCAGATATGTTTTTCCTGTTGAAATGATACTTAATGCTAGAAGAACAGAATTTGAAAAACACTTCGAAAGGAGAGGGGGGAGGTGCTACCATTTCACCGAGATCATACAAGTTTTTTAAAAAGACTGTATTTTTCGCCTCCTATAGTTAATACAATGGCACTTGTAACATTTCGACCACAGTGTTCTCCTTCTGCTTAGATAAGTGTGCCATGTGCTACAGAGCTACATCAACTGGCACTGTTTATCTTAAAACTGGGTAAATTTAGAACAATAGAAAAAAAGTATAGACTTGATAGTTGCAAAAAAAATTTTTTTTGTTCTTAATGGCCAGAAAAGGCTTCAGTAAGATTTCCAACTTGTTGAATTATCTGAACTGAGGAGAAGGAAAAACTGTGTTAACTTGCAGAGACATTGATGGACTGCATGGTTGTTATGAATGTTCCTTTTAAATTTAAAGAATAAATGTGTTCCATTTTCCTTTTTGCCTTCAGGGACATCATCCTACTCTCATCAAGGTTATGGCTGTGAATCAAAGCTGTATAGCCTTGACCACGGCCATGAGAAACCTCAAGACAAGAAAAAGAAAACCTCTGGCCTTGCCACCCTCAAAAAGAAATTCATTAAGCGTCGGAAATCCAGCCGATCTGCTGATCATGCCAAGCAGATGCGTGAACTCCTCTCCGGCTGGGATGTCAGAGATGTTAATGCATTAGTAGAAGAATACGAAGGGACATCAGCCTTAAAGGAGCTTTATCTACAAGCTAATTTGGCAAGACCAGAAGCCAGGACGCTACAAAAAGACATGGCTGAACTTTATCAGTACAAATATTGTACTGATGTAGACTTAATATTTCAAGAAACTTGTTTTCCTGTGCATCGCGCGATATTGGCAGCAAGATGTCCATTTTTTAAGACGCTGCTTTCTTCCTCACCAGAGTATGGAGCAGAAATAATAATGGATATTAACACAGCTGGCATAGATATGCCTATGTTTTCTGCTTTGTTACACTACCTTTATACAGGCGAGTTTGGAATGGAAGATTCAAGATTCCAAAATGTTGATATCCTTGTGCAGCTTAGTGAAGAATTTGGAACACCAAATTCGTTAGATGTCGACATGCGTGCGCTGTTTGATTACATGTGCTATTATGATGTGGTTCTTAGCTTTTCATCCAACTCTGACTTAGTTGAAACTTTTGGTGGAAGTCAGAACTGTCTAGATGAAGAGCTCAGAGCTCACAAAGCTATTATTTCATCACGATCTCCGTTTTTTCGTCACTTGCTGCAGAGGAGGATACGAACTGGTGAAGAAATCACAGACCGAACTCTACGAACTCCAACTAGAATTATACTGGATGAATCTATCATACCAAAAAAATATGCTAAGGTCATTTTGAACTGTATGTATACAGATGTGGTGGACCTCTCAGTTTTGCACTCCAGCCCTTCAGTGGGCAGTTTAAGTGAAGTTCAGGCTCTTGTAGCAGGAAAACTAAACATGACTAGGGCTGAAGAAGCTATGGAGCTTTATCACATAGCACTGTTCTTGGAGTTTAACATGCTTGCACAAGGTAGGTAACACTGTCCTTGCTGTAGAGTATATGACCTTATTAGAAAAATTTTTAGCTATTTTGCAATGTAAGTATACCTCTTGAGTCTGGATATCAGTGACTGACAATTCCTTTAAGAAAATGAATTTATTTTCTGTCTGTAAGTTGTAGATAATGCATCTGTTTTTTCCAGGAACAGAAGAAATGCCACGTGAGAGATTTTAATTGTATTGCACATCACTACTGAAGCATGCTATTTATGTCAAATATGTGTAACTGGTCTTATATTTCTGATCTTTATCTACTTTCATCTATAATCTGTCTTTTGGGTGTGAACAACAGGAGGAGAATACAAGAGATCCTTGTTGAGAGGAGAGCATATTTAGACTTGTTATGAAGTGTCCCTATATGTTAACAAGTCTGTAAACTTGAATGGTTATTTCTGTAGTTTGTCAGAAGAGGTACACCAAGCCTGCAGTCTTGCTGTTGGAAGGTAAATTTAACGGCTTAATTGCGCTAGTCCTACGTCTTTAGTGTCTGCTCCTTGATGTACAGAACTGAAGGCAGGGGCAGTCAGTATTTTCAGACTTAAAGTTCAGAAAGCTTCACTTCTGTCCATTATTCTGGAAGATCACTCAGATCTTGATAACCTACTTCCTGCATGTGGAGGTTGGCCGGGGTTATTGCAGTGTCTGGCGAGGTGCCAGAGCACTGACTGGTAAACTAATAGTACTTCTTGTGGTGGCAGGAGCTTTGCTTGCTGCTTCATCTGCTGGTGCTTGAACTATTTAGTGGCCATATTATAAATAACAAGATATTGCAGTTGCTTCAGGGCTTGCTGGTGGAGGATGAGAATCTTACTTTTGAGCTGAGAAGTGGAGAATGGAATTCACTGATATATCAGCAATGTGATTTGTTGAAGCTAGTTTAATTTTTTTAAGACAAGAACTTTTTACAGTAGATCAGTGCATCTGTAACTTCTAGCTATGAAATTAAATTTGGCGAGATTGAAATCTTTATACTATAAACTATCAGATACATTTCAGTAAAATAGGAAACTTCTTAAGGAGTGAGCAGGAAAAAGCATGTATAAGCACTGCAGGAAGACATCATGCTTATAATGGGTTCTAATAGTTATACCAAACTGTGAGTGATGAAGATATGGGAAACTAATCAGAACTATTTATCTTCTGTAGAGACTGGTACTAGGAAACCAATTTTCAGATGATGCTGAAAGTTGAAATAATCCTGCTGCAATACAGGGGTGGTCATTGGGAGAAGGTAGAGAGATGCAGTGGCCTTCAGAGGTCTTTTCTTCTTTCTCTGGTAAATGTGTCTGACCACAAAAGTGGTGAGCTGTGGGGTGGGGAGGTTGTTATACATAGGGCAGAAAAGCAGTAAAATCAGGCAAGGGTTGAAATTTATTATATTATCCAATACTAGCAAATGTAAATTTGGCACTCCTTCAGATACTCAAATTCTAGATGTTAACTTGAACTAATTAGGATTTTACAAATCGGTTCTGTGTCCCTAGCTGTGGGAGAAAGCAGTAAGCAGTGTGTAGAAAGATCTGTATATGCCAGTGAAGTCAGTATCTAATAGTTTCATATTTTATTTGTTGAGTTCATGTTTAGGTCACTGGTACTGTGCTGGCACTGAAGAATTATTCTCGTATAATCTTATAATCAAAATTGAAAGGAAGTGTATTTTATCAGGGAAAAGTACATGCCTGCACTTGACTAATAGGTCACAACAAAATATGCACTTTAGTGACCACTGTTCTTGTTTCAACATTTAACCATGTGCTAACCATGTGTTTGGCGCCTTGTCCTCCTTTACTGTAATACTTAGCATGAGTTAGATGGGAGGTCTTTGTTTCAGTAGTATCCCTCCCGTTCCCTGATCTCATAGCTAGCATACTTCTGTGCTGGAAGCTGTCACTCAAACATCTGACTTCTAGATGCTATGCAGAGCGATGTTTGAAGAGACAACATTGCGTAGGTGTTGGAGACCACTTGAACAGGCAGTTCTCATGAAATCTCATCTTGGTTCTCTGACAGTTCTACTCTGTTGTGCTGCAGGTGTCCGGTTTTGCCCAAGTTCTGACTGATCCCATCAGTTGGCTTTCACAGTAGCTAATGTCTTAAGTTTCTTCTCTAGATTTCCGCACCTCCTGGCTCAAGTTTTTTGGTTCCATTCACTCATGCTAGCCAACTGCAAACTTGATAAAGCTTGTCTCCCTGGTTTCCTGGAAAATATTTTGGGCTCATTACATGTAAGTCTGGATACTCTTTCCAACTCATTTTGTTCACTTTTACTCAGTTTTGGCTGAATATATGTAATTGAGTGTCAAATGAAGTTGATGTATTTTAAAGCTTCTGATCAACTTTTTATTTTCAACAGATTTTAGTTTGATTTGTCTTCAGGGACCTTTCTAAGTATCCAGATGTTGTAATTTCTCTTCAATTTCAGCGGTGATTCAGCTGTGACCCTTTCCATGGAAATCTTCCCATTCCTAACACAGTGATACTCCCGACTTTTGTATTTTAATAGATGATTTCCCTATGGTGAAGTCAGTGATAGCATGGGTATGTGCTATGAATCTTTACTGTCCAAGTAAAGCAAGTCGGCTTTATTTAGAATTTACCCTGGCTTCAGCTTGATTTGTTTCAGCGGATGATTGTCACTTATCTTCCAGGATAAACTGAATGGGATCTTTGAACTAATTAGCAAGCATCTGATCTATAGAGCCGATCATACCGAAACCCTTTTGTACCTAACAGGACAGAGACTGCTGTTAGAGGGGCTGCGGTGTTTATTAACTATCAAAAAGTGAAGCTCTTCAGTACTTTCACAGAGACTGTGAGGATTAGAGCCCTCTCCAGAAGGTTCAAGCACATCCCTTAGTGGAACATTTCTGTGCTCTGTCTGCTTATTTCTGCACTCTGCTCCTGCTTTTGTGTCTTCATGCTACCTTGCTGCTTGCTGTCAACTGTACTGGTGTGATCGTTTTAACGCATTGACTCACAAAGATCAAGTTTAAAATCACTTACTCCTTCCTCGTCTGTAGCACAGTTATTAAAACCAGATCAGTTCCCTAGTCTTGCTCATCATGTGTTGCTAAAATAATCCTCCCTTCCAGTCTTACTGTGCTGCCACATCCACTGCTGTTGCAGAGAAGTTTGACTTCAGGTATCTTAATTTTATTAGACAGCTATATTAAATACATGAATCCTCTTCTGCATCTTGGCCCTGTTGCTTACTGTCATGAATAGCCTCACTGAGGTGGTACAGTATGTTTTTCTGTTACAGGTTTTTGGATACTGGGACTCTATGAATTAGTTTTACCTGGGAATCTTTTTTTGCCTGCTGGTTCCAAAAGTTTTCTAAAGTAAAATTCTCAAAAAATAACTCAACTTCAGACTTTTTGCTTTCCTTTTATTTTTAGGTGTTGACTTTACGCTTGACAATAATAAGAAGTAAGAAACTTTGTTTTAAAGCCACATTCTGTAGCGCAGCCTTTCATCTAGAGGCAGATATCACCTGACATCAACAGTACCCTTGATCTCAGCAGGACTGAAATACTGAAATGCCAGAAAGCCCACAGCAGCAGTATTAAATACACACCAATGTGGAGGATTAGAGCAAGTGTGTCAGTTATGTATTGGTGCAGTAGGAATGCTCAAAGGAACTAGTCTGACACTTAAAACTTTAAAATAAATTGGATATGATTAAATATTAACATAAATCTGACCTATTACCTCCTTACAATGATTCACTTGTACTCAAGCCTGAAATTATTGCTTAGGTTTTATATTATGAAGACTGGAGAAAGCAGGAAATGGAAAGGATCTTCCTTAGAGCAGTTACATTCCAGGGTTATATTCAAGGATAAAGAATTTGACTGAGTTGTGCAACTGGGCACATAACATTTGTTTGCAGTGTCATAGTTTGCAGAGGAAATGGATCTGGTCACTGTTTTCAGGTTTTTCTTTCAGCCACCTGTGTTCTAGGAGGTGTATGGCTTAAATACTGAACAGCGATGGCTGGTGGTGATCCCTCTGAACATCAGCTCTTTCTCTCTCAGCCTTTTATTCTTCTCATGTTAAGTTCTTCTCTCTGGTTTGTTATGGAATGCTGAAGCCCCATCAAGGGCTGTTATCAGCTGATGGCTGCAAGAAGCCAGAAATGCAGATGCAGATTTCAGGCTTCCTAAATTCTTACACTTTTCATGTGGCAGGAGCAGAAGAGTAAATTAATTTTCATTCTTTGGGAGAGATAACATAAAAGAACTTTTGCCACAAACATTGAATGCGTCAAACATGTAACAAATACCTTACCTTTCTGGCTAAACTTAGAACTTAAAAAATGCAGCTGTTAGTCTCTTAGAATGTGTAACAGCTTTGTAATTGCCATATCATAAATGAAAAAATGAAAATATTTTTAAATAACATAAGTTGCATTATTTTTGTCTTCTCCCTAATTTAATATTTCAAATGGCTGGATCATGTGCTGTATTGGATTCCATGTAACTTAGAGTTTTCACTGTGAGAGAATGGTTAGCATAACACAAAGTGCTGCCTGACCTAACCTTCAGATCATGTTTTGTTTTTGCTTTAACAGCTAATCTGAAATGTTGTAAAGTAGTCAGCTTTGTATTTGAATAAAGCAAAAATTAATACCATATAGTTCAACAGTGTCATAATAGATGTACTTTGAATTCAGCCTTTCAAGGATAGGAGTGCATGAATGTTTTAAATTTTCATGCTTAGAAAAATCAGCAGAGGGATTAAAAATAGGTCAAAAGAGGTGTTGATATCTAAAATGTGGAAAATAATACACTTGCAAATTAGAGGTTTGCCATCAGTTAACTGTTAACTTTATCTCCTTTTAAAGATGGGGTTTTTTTAAACAATTTGGGGAGGAGATGGAGAAGAAAAGCATTAAAACTTCAAGAAGCTTGAAACCTGTAGCATTTCTTTAAGGCGGAGAATATGGTGCTGCTAGGAGGCAGTAAATGTTAATAAACTGGGAAAGTCAGCCTGCATCCAGAAGATGGATGCTGAACAAGGTCCCTTGTTCACAACACAGTGATAGAAAGTAGAGGTTGCAGTTGCTGCTTATATGATAACCAGTTCAAAAGGTGTAGTTTGTGTAGTTTCCTATTTGTACTGTGTAAGTCGTCTGACTTCTCTTACTGGTTTTGTAACCGATGTTTTGCCTACTGCTGTGGAGAACCGAAATTCCTATTGCCATATCTGTCAAGTTGTATGAGGTCACTTGAATCTGACGCAGACTGTTTGGCTGTCAAAAGCGGTGCTGCTGCCCTGCCTCCTGTGTTAGTCGCCTTGTTTCTGTTCTCTGTGCTGGCACTAGGGTTTGTGCTATTGGCAGTCTACTGTTGCTGGAAGCAGGATTAACAGAAATTAGTTGACTAGTCATTGAGTGGCCACCCAAGCACCAGTGTGACAGCAGAGCAGGAGACATGGAGTGTTAAGATGAGTCTGGTTTAATACCACCATACAAGGGGGTTAGTTTCCATGGCTGCTCCCACAGCCTGTGAGTGTAGGCTGCCTTCTAAAGAATCCTTATCAAGTACAGGACGTGCTTGCATCTTTGGGACAGTAAGACATGGGAAAGAGGATGAACAAATGTCTTCCTTTTTCCCTTTCTCTTCCTGTCAGAAGCTTGGTTAGAACAGCGAGGGTGCTTATGGATGGGACTCCAAACATGTTGCAGTCCAGACTTGCTACAGGGCATGCTTCTGAACTGTTCTCTACAGGGCATCAAATTCGAAAAGTATGATTCCTGATTGCCAGCATGGTCTCTCCTAATGCGACAAACTTAAAACATTTAATAGCTTCTAGACTCCAGTTCAGTGTCAAGATGAATTCTTGTTACTTTTAATTGGCTCCACTGATTTGCCTAGGTTTAGGGGAAAGGTCTCCACCACAGACTGATCTAAATCAAGTTAACAGTTTTTGTAGTAAAAACTTTGCTTAATTCTACTTTAGCTAACTGTTGAAGGCACTTAATTTGTCTTTAGTAGGTCTGTCAACTCTTTTGATAAGATCCCAAGCTACTAGCTAGCATGCTGAACATGGGCTCAAGCTATTTTTGTTTGGAAGGTCTGTGGAACTGCATTTGAGAGAGAACTCAGGAAGCAGAAAGGACTCGTTTGTAGACAGGACCTACTGGTATCCAACAAAAGGAGCGCATGGAAAAGCCTCATTTCTCCAAAATGTGATAATCACCTTTCATTTCTTTAGACTCCCAAGTTGAATCTCTGAAAGACACTAATAGTCGCAGAAGCTTCTGGTACAGCACTTTGGGATGCTGTAAACGGATCTTGGAAAGGCTGTTGATGACTGAATATTATAAAACAGTACTCACAGGAGAAAAACGCTCTATTCCACTGTGAAGAACAATATTATGGCTATTAGATGACTACTTTTTTTGCCAAGTGGCTGATTGTTAAAGCAAAAATCCTTCTGCCAGAGAAGAAAAGAAATTGGATTCCTTCCATAGCTAGAATTGGGTTGCCCCAATTTATTCAGATTTTCAGAAAATACTTTAATTGTTACCTCGTGCTTACTTCGGAACAAATACTCCCTCAGTTCTGACACATTGCTAAAATTACTTGGGAAAAAGACTGTTTTCATTTGCTAGGCATTCTAAATGAGCTTTTCACCTGATGATGTTATATTATTGGTAGTTGTGCAATAATTGGACTCGACAGAAGAACTGAGACTCAGCTGATGCTCTGTTTCTGTAAATCAGTGTCGCTCAGATCTTTGGAACTGCATTTCTCACAGAAATGTACTTTTCTGTCTTTGCACGGGGCAGGTATTCTTACTGTTTCAAAAATAAACGTCAGATGAAATGCTATGAATGGCATTCCCTTTGAGAAGTCTCCTTCGCTCTTTGAGTTTCCTCTTGACTGATTTCAGTGCGTGGGTTTACGTATGGCCTTCGAAATGGAGCAATCCTTACATGTAAACTTGAGACTTCAGGAGAATGTAATCGTGTGCGGAAGTCAGCTTGCATGCAGACACAGTAATTGCATGCAAGAAGTTGTGTTGGGATTTAGCAGGGCAAGACTTAGTGCAACACAACAGATGACCCTAAAGAATTCTTTCAAACAACTGTGTGTTTCTTATTCAGGGAAGCAAACTCCTCTTCTAGGCATACTGCAACTAGTCAAGGTTAGCTTTCATTCGCTGTGCAAGATGTGCTGCAAACTTATCTTCCCTTTTGGGCCTCAGAAAAGGACAATGTTAAGAGGAACTCGCACGACAAAGTTAAATACAGTGTCAGCCATTAACTATGTAAGTAAAAATGTAAGGAAAATTGTAAGTAAAAATGGATGCTGAAATGGAAAGCTTCAGACTTCATTTACTCTTATTTATGACATATGCTGAAGTATTTTAAGCTTTTTTTAATGTAGGTTTTTGAGGTTTTTTAACACTATGTTTTCAGATTCTTGACCAGGATTTTTTTAAGACTTCAGGCTTCTGGAGAATCCCCCATCTAGAGGGGACAGTTTCTCTAACCTGTACCAAAACCCAAGGAGTGTGTTTCAGAGCAGTTCTCATCCTCTGCTCTCCTCTGTACTGGTGATGATTGGGCTGATGTTCCAAGTGCCTCCAACCAGTCCTTGCATGTTCACTGCTCACAGTAGGCTAGTCCTCACCATGCAGGTTAGAGGTCAGTATCTACAGTAAGGCATCTGTTCTTACTTGTAGTAATAATAATAATGTGTAACCTAATGGTAATAGGTAGCTCTGAGAAATGCTGTATTACAACAGTAATGGTAAAAGACAAAGCAGGTGCGTTGAAACATGACTTAACACTTACTCCTTGTGCTTTTGCTAGCCCTTCTGTCAGTGGCTGCATTGGTATACAGTCTTTTTCTCAGGTGAATCAGCCATATGAAAAAGAAATCATCCAAGTGCTTATGAAGAAAGTTTGTTTTAAGTATGAACTGGTGGAAGATTTATTACTGTTGGGGGAACAGGCATTATTCTCAAATTCCTTTTAGAAAATAAATAAAAATTGTTTCCAAAACTATGTATACATTCAGACATGTTCTGGAATTTGCTGCAAGCATTCTCATTGAGCATTGACTATATTTATTATATTCACTGTAATTTTTTTTTATACTTAAGTTTAGAAAATTTTAATGGTGGAATATTGTCATAATTATCATGCTGACTTTTTAATAGTATTAAGTAGAAATACGTGCATCTAATGGGACAGGTGAATTTATAATCTGCTTCATGTTTAAACTGTTGCTTCCTAGTACCTTCTTTACCGTACTGTTTAAGCTTCCCTTTTCAGTGACTTTGCTTCTAAGTAGTAATTCCTTTGACAGATATCTTTTGACTTTAAATGGCATGTTCACTTGTTACTACTTACTGCTTAATAACTTATCCTTCATGTTATTGGTTGCTACAGAAATAGTCAATGCTTATATTCTGTATGCTGGCCTATGTAGAAGAGTTAAGATTTTCTTTTAATTCTATTAATTACTGCTAGTTTGTCTTGCATGTATGCAGCCAGTTCAAAAATATGTATCATGAGGAGAGCCTCTTTGATCTTTGTCTTGACAAAAGTTAAGATTACTGTGCTAAACGCATTCTTACTCAGCTTAGTCCAGGAGCTCAGGAATGAGATACAGTTCTCTAAACAGCTGTCAAAGTTTAGTTTTTAAATATCCTTGAAACTGAGAGAAGAATCATGATGTATAAAAAATAAAATAATTACAGTGTAAGCATGCTGAACTGTCCAGGGACCTCTCATGGGCATATAAGCATAGCTGTAATTTTGTGGCGGTAGTGGGTTGAGACTGGAATGTATAATTCTAGCGTAGGAATTTTTTTTTGAATTGCTATCTTTATAGTACCAATAGAAATAGTATTCTGTGTGTATGTAAAACAGATGTACAAATGAAGTCTCCAATAGCCCTTTGCCAGTTTCAAGTTATCAACATTGTAGTACCATCTGCTTTAACCCCAGGTACCTGTGTTTTCAGCCCTCCTGTGGTACGTCTGCCCTTGTTTCTTCCAAATCTGCTCCATCTCCCTTCAGGAGATTTAAATATCCCCTGTCTCTTCTTCAGAAGACATGTGCTGTGTGAAAGAGTACATCCTAATTCAGCAGTGGCTATGAAGATACTAGCAGACTCACCATGAGTCAGAATACCTGCTGCTCGAATGCTTCACTTTCTGCTTCCCTATCGGAGGAGGTGCTCTCTGTCCTGGCACCCTCTGTGCCTTGCATGACAGGGGAGGCTGGAGTGGTGGCCTAGACCAACCACTCTTTGCCTTCTCTGAGAGTCAGAAAATGATGCTTTGCTGCCCTCATCCTGTTCTGAGTAGCTGAGTACCAGCAATACGTCACAACTTTTGATTGTGCTGCTCTGCATGGTCTGTCTCAGGAGGATCCCCATGCAAAGTGATACGGACAAAAATCCCATCTCTTTGACGACTTCTGTAAACCTGCTCTAAACAATAGTGACTCAAATTCAAGTCTACAACTTTAAAATGTGTTTAAACAGTCAGATAACGTATATTAACAAAAAGGAGGTTCTAGTAGGGCTGAACTACCTTTCCAGTTGTTCATCCAGATGTACCAGCAGACATGCTGTTTCACGTGCCTTTAAAAGGTGAATGACTATAGTTGGAATCCTAAACCACAATTAAAATTATTATACTTTTAGTCAGAATTTAACCCTGTTTGCAACCTTGGTCTGTAGGGCACTTCTGTTTTTACTCTCACCGGGAGTCATGTAACCCTTTATATTACAGATTTGGCAATACATCTTAATCCTTCAGCATCAAAGTGCCTCTGTAAAAACATCATTGATTTTTCTTTGCTTTTCTAGGCTGTGAAGATATTATTGCTGAGAGCATCTCACTAGACACCTTAATTGCTATTCTGAAGTGGAGCTCTCAGCCATACGGTTCGAAGTGGGTGCATCGTCAAGCGCTACATTTCCTCTGTGAGGAGTTTACCCAGGTCATGACTTCAGATGTCTTCTATGAACTCAGCAAGGATCACCTGCTCACAGCTATTCAGTCTGACTATTTACAGGTAACCTGCAATGCAGAATACAGCTGGTTCCGCTTGAAGCGGGATATGTTGTACCATTACTAGAAACGCTCGGGAATAGCTCATTTTAAATTGTAGGCAAGAGTGGGTTTGTATGCACACTAGGCATTCCTTTATAATATGTGAAAAATGAAATTGAAGTAGTGATTAAGAAAACTGTTTTGTTCTTTGCTTGTAACACAACCCAAACTGCTGGTATATGCTGTTGCTTAGAAGCCTAAGAATAATCTAGAAACAGCAGGAAATTATTTTAAACGAAGCATTTCTGAACCTAACACTTGCCTTGCATGTTGAAGTGTTTTATAAAAGTTATGTGGTGGTAGTAGTTTTGCTGCAAAAACGTACAGTTGGGGGCAGGGGGAGCTGAGAAACTAGTAACAGCTCATAAGACTTTTTTTCTAGGGGAGATATAAAAATACCTTTTCTGACAAGTGTTGCAGAATTTCTTTTTTTGTTACTTTCCTTCAGTGATTGTGTGGTTTTAGGGAGAGGAAACCATGCTGGCTAATAGAAAGCTGGTGTATTTTTCCTGCCATTTCTCTTCAAGGGAGCTATCCTTATAATGATGACCAGCCTTTTATAGCTTAAAGATGACTAGATTATTTCTTTAACTGTGTCTGTCCCAATCTTACCTTTTTTAAAAGTATTAAGTGTTACAGATTATTTAAAGTGTATTTTTAAAAAGTTTGTTTGCTTTAAACACTTCAGGAATTACAGTAACAGTACTACTGTTTTTCCATGAAAGTATTATGCCTAAATTTCCTACCTAGTTATTAAGAAATTAGGTAGATAAATTTATAGTTTTCAATACATGATTTTTTTTTTCCCCTAAAAATGTTGAATGCATATAGATATGAACAAAGCAAAGTTGGGTTTTTTTATAGCATTACAGAAAATACTTCTCTTCACCTAGATTATAATTTAGATGGTTTGATTATTTTCATAGCTTTCCAGGCTGTGCAAATGCTGAATTTGTAATCTTAAGCAAGAGATCCAAACACCCGGTGTTGGAATTGCCCCTTTAATTAACTTGAATCATTCAAATTTAATATTTGTAAGTTTTCATGGGAGACAAAATTTTTCCTTCTGTAGTAAACCTTTTTTTTTCCTCTTCTTAGGGATTGAATAAGTGACATGAATCTAGAAATTGTGGTGGCAATACACTAGTAGTACTACCTTAAAATATTTGGAGGAAGCGATATAACAGATCATCACATACAAGTACTTGACTCTTGGAACAGTTGTATTTCTTTATAGCTGTATAAGACCTGGCTATGTGTTTTGTTTATTTTTTAATTATTTTTTTTTTCGGGGTGTGTGTGACATTAAACTAAGCATATGCAGATTGCTGACTTTCTCATTCTACCAGGCAAGTGAACAAGATATTCTTAAATATCTGATTAAATGGGGAGAACACCAGTTGATGAAGAGAATAGCAGATCGAGGTAAGGATCCTTTAAACTGCACAGCACTAAACCATAGTGTATGGAAGTTCTTTTTTGTGTGTAATCTGTAACTCAAGGAAATTTAATCTAGTTTTGACCATACTACAAACAAAGTAAAGCTTTTGTTCTCTAAAATACGAGAATGCAGGTGTTCTGAGGGAGCTGAGATTGTTTAGCTTCAAGACGAAAAGGCTTAGCAGGAATCTTAGTGAAGTCTGTAAATATCTAATGGCAGGAAGCAAAGAAATAGAGCCACGCTCTTTTTTTGGCACCCAGGACAGGATGAGAGGCAATGAGGCATTAACTGAAACACAGGAAATTCTGTTTAAACACAAGAAAATGTGAAGATGATCAGACACTGGAACAGGTTGCCCAGAGTACTTGTGAAGTTTCCATCCTTGGAGGTGTTGAAAACCCAACTGGCTGTAGTCATGAGCAACCTGCTTTACCCTGCCTGGGCAGCTGTGGGGAGAGGGCAGTGGTTCTGGCCGGATGAAACTTGTAAAGGTTGAAAGGACCTCTAGAATTGTCTGATTTTTAAGTCTAGCTGATTTCCTATTGTCTCAGAATTTTTCTTCTTGTAATTAATTCATCAGATAAAAAAAAAAAACTGCAGTATCATTTACTTTTCTGTGCTCATGCAGGCTTCTCACAGTAGTCTTATTCTTAGTTTACTGTATCAACCTTTCACTTCAGTTCAAGTACATTTCTCCCACGGAAATCTGTGGTAGTGAGAAACAAGATATCAAGTGGCACCAGTATTTTTCCTAAAGTAGATGTAAGTGTATTTTGATTAGCTCAGATGCATATTATTGCTACAGTGATAACTTCAAGGGTAATCTCACTTGTGTTGGATGTGGGAAGTAGGTTAAATATATATTTCCCAACTAACAAATGCAATTAGCTTGTAGTTCATCCCCACCATGAGGTGTCAATTGGATAGTATGACGAGAGAAACAGAAAGGGAAGAACCTGCTTGTGTGAAAACAGAGCAGTGCTAGTGTGGCTGCTGTCTCTGGAGGGCTGGCCATGTTTCTGAAATCCACTGTTACTGCTTGTGATACAGCTGCTCTGCCATGGACATGTATGAAATGCAACAAAAGTCAGTTAAAATATGTGCTTTTAGTGATGCAAGTAAGTATTAACTTTCTATCTTCAAAACAAGATTTTCCAAGTGTTTGTCGTAAAGCACATTGGAGCGTAATGGAGCCAGTTAAGCAGTAAAGACCTGGACTGGGGAGAAGTTGCTCGTTTGGAGTAATTGTGCAGCTTCCTGGTCTGTGGCATTCATTAAGTAAACGGCTCATTTCTCTTTCCTGGAATCATCAGATAACATGATAAACAAAAGCAGAAATAAGAGCTGTGCCATAATTTGTTTTAATTCCTCAGTGATGCTCCTGACTTTGCAGCTCTGAATATGTGACGGTGTCAGTCAAATACCAGAAAGCACTAGAAATTGTAATGGGCTGTGGCCAAAACTTGAGCTGACTGTGCTGAATGGAGGACGGATATGTTTGACAGATTTCCTCAAAGAGTGAACTTAGCCAAAGTCAGGTTGGGCACAATACCTAAAATACAGGTGAAGGTAGTTAACTAAGGGAGGCAGAATGACCTGAGAGCGCCATACATTGTCATCTTGCAGTCTAGGAAGATACCCACTCTTGGTATAAATAGGTACCATATGACCATAAGAACATTTTGAATGGGCTTGACAGAGATGTTACTAGGCTGGCTTACCTGAGGCTAGAATGATTTATTCCAGTGGTGTCTTCAGGCCTTAATTTGTAGAAGATTTCTGAAAACTAGTAGGGAAATGGAGAGGAGCTGCAGGAGAGACCCTTTGGGGAAACTGTTAGCAGCCAGGCATGAATATTTTCATAGCACAGCTCAAGGCAGAGCTTTATAAGCCTTTACCCCAAACACTACTACTGTGTTTTCTCCCTGGCTTATGCTTTGAAACTGACAGCTCTACAAACGACCCATGCTTGTGTAAAGTGAACCTGACTCTGCTGATGCTTCATGAAATAGTTTTGTGGAACAATGCCGATAAGCACTGTTGATTTTAAATTAGACTTTTTCCTTTTCTGTAACTTTCTGTAAGCTGTGGAACTCCTGCTTTCCTATTTAAACTTTTTGAGGAAACTTACTGGTTTTTGTTCCTTCCCACAGAGCCTAATTTACTGAGTGGTACTGCTCACAGTGTGAACAAAAGAGGCGTGAAGAGGAGAGATCTTGACATCGAGGAGCTGAGAGAGATCCTGTCTCCACTTTTACCTTTTGTCCGCATTGAGCACATCTTACCCATGAACAGTGAAGTACTGAGTGATGCAGTAAGTCAGTAATCTCATACAAATATTATCTCTGGATTCTTTGTACTTCAGGGGTGTTTTTGTTTGTGTTTTGTTGGTTTTTGTTGTTTGGGTTTTTTTGGAGGATTAGCTCCTAAAATGTTATCTCTGAGTAATACATATATAACTCTGGTTAAATTTCCTGTACTTTAAATCTATCAGAAGGCTAAAGAAAAATCAGTGGTGTAGGACTCAATATAGGAAATGCGTTGCTTGCAAGCTCTTCCCATATTTATATTTAAAAAATCACGAAACTTTTTCTTGATTCTTAAAGATGAAGAGAGGCCTGATTAGTACTCCTCCTTCAGACATGCTACCAACATCAGAAGGTGGAAAGTCAAATGCCTGGCTGCGGCAAAAAAATGCTGGAATATATGTGCGGCCAAGACTGTTCTCACCATATGTGGAGGAGGCAAAGGTAATAATCGTTAACATTTGAGTATTGTTAATCTGGAGTCATCAGGGGGTTCTGTAAACAGGGAAAGATTTTGGTATGTTTTGTCTCTCTTTGCATGTACTGGCCTAAAATACTAACATTTTCAATTTAACAAGACTTACAAGTTTGATCATCAGGCTCAAGTCTCTAGAACTGGTCAGAAAAATTTCAACAAAATTTTTTTTTGTCGAAATTGAAATGTTTGTGAGACAGATCTTGATGAAATTCCACCGGAAACAAAGCAGCGTTCTGAGGGAAACCTCCCTGGTTTCCAGCCAGTTTGCCGGCCCAGCTCCTCGGCAGCCCACCTGGCAGGCGGATGGCAAGGTGAGAGCCTGAGAGTCCCAGTTTGCAGCTAGTCAGCAACCTTGGTGCCAGATCTTTCAGGCTCCCCAGCTCCCACCAGAGCTGGGTGGAGAACTACTATTTCACTAGGCAGAGGACTCTGATATTTCATTTTCTTGTTTGAATCAGAATGTATCCAAAATTCTTTCGATCCTCCACAAAATGGAATAAATATCTTGTGTCCAACTTGACCGAAGTCCTCTGTGTCCCGCTCAAGCAGTAGCTTCCCTATTTAATGTCTTGCATGAGGGCTGTCAAACTGAAGATCTTGTAGCATCTCTGATGGTGACATTTGACAGGGTGGAGATAGCTCGGTGTGGGACAGAAACATGCAATATTCTGTTTGACAGAATGAGACCCTTGTAGGTCACCAACTAATGCCACCAGTTAAGGCAGCTCTGACTTGGGTCAAGAGCTCATGAGTCCCAGCAGTGCAGGTGTCTGCAGAACAAGAGGATTAGGTGAAGCTGGGCACATCCGCATCACCTACAAACTCTGACCACTACTCTGGTGAATTCAGAGCTTTTGCCATGTGCTTAAGAAAGAAAATGTCTTCTAAGGGTGTGAGTTGCTGACATCCTCTTTGAGGGGGAAATAGAACTATTTTGCATTTGGGGCACAAAGGTTGGAGAGCACCATGTGGCACTAAAGCAGCAAAGGAAGACTAGCTAGTTAAAATTTTATCTTGGTATCTTGGATTGTTAAACTAACAAAAATGTGTTAAAGAATGTGTGATTAAAGCTTTGGCTCTTAGTTTTCAGGTATACAGTAGAGAAATGCTTTAGTAGTAGCCTTAAAGTAAAAAGTGCATTCTAATTTTTTTTCCCCTGTCAGGAATCCTACTTGTTTGTTAGTTTCATGTTATACTGTTAACACTTTTAAAAGCATCATTAGCTGTTTAACCTTAGATGGAGACTCATTATCTGGTAACTATACTCCTATTCGTAGTTTAATTATTGTGAAATGCAAAAAATTGCAGATGAGTGATTTCTGATATATTTTTTTTTTTACTTCTCTGTAAGCCTCCCATTTTTTTTAGTTAAATCCATTTAACATTAAGTGATAATCTTAAAAGGGTATGCATAAATCCCTTTCTATTCTTTAAGACATCTGAGAGAAACACGTTGCATTTTCAATCTAGTGCCTTGTAATCAACACCACAGAGTGGTGAGACCTGTAGGCAGTAGTTCTCAGAGTGTGCAGAGGGTCTGGCCTTGAGAAGGTTACTTCCAATCTGACAGGTGCAAAACAAAGCAACCTTCCCAAACTTTATTCACCTGCCTGCTCTCAGCTCTGAAATTCAGCTCTGATCATGACTGGAAAATGGAGTAGAAAATGCTATGGAAAAGCCAAATACTGTTTGGGACCTGGAAAAGTTATGATGTAGACATTGGTAGACTTGTGGCCTCGGGACTGCGTTTGCAGCAGCTCCCGGTGGGTGCGTGTGTGCAGTGCCTTCATGAGGGCTCTAATGGCTGTCGTTGCAGTCAGTACTGGATGAGATGATGGTGGAACAAACCGATCTCGTTCGTTTGAGGATGGTCCGAATGTCCAATGTGCCCGACACCCTTTACATGGTGAACAACGCGGTGCCACAGTGCTGTCATATGATTACCCACCAGCAAGTTAGCACTAACCAGTCCAGTCCTCCCTCGGTTATAGCCAATGAGATCCCAGGTAAGGCTGCGAGATCACTTGCAAAGCCGGTTCATCTTGTGTGAGTGGATGGGGGCTTGGGGCAAGGGAGAGGGGATGTGACTTACTGAATGTTGTTACATCCTCAGAGAGTACTACTGCACCATTGGGTCTGCTTCACGCCCAGTGGTCATCTCTTTTGCTTTGGTCTACTCTGAAGACGTTAACTACTTTTGGATGGTGTAACAAGTAGTTAGAAAGTAAGCTTTTTGTTAAAAAGAAGAGCTAACTCTGTCCTAGCTGAAATCAGGACAGCTACTAGAAGAGGTAGTATTTTAACTTGCTTCAGCTGAGCAGTTTGAAAAACTTTGGACTAGATAAACTTACTGTAGAAGGCTTGCTGGAGCCTGGTGGTTCTGAGTTTTCTACTTACCCTTCTTGGATGACTCGTTTTTCCAGCCTTCTGGATCATGGTAAAATACTGATTTCTTTTAAAAACAAAAAGCAGGGGAGCATAACTTGTAGGGCAGTCAGCTTGGCACAGTTTGCCAGAAAAATATTGGAAGCAGGCACTCAAAACATACTTTTTTCAGTTTAGCTTTAGCTTTGAAGTCAAGTCAGCTTCATTCCTTGTGTGGCAGAGTAAGTTTTTATAGGTGGATGTAGATATGGCCTCTCTTGACTTCAGGATACTTGGTGTGAAATTCTCTGTAGGCAAGCCAGGGAAATACAGTCATAAAACTACTGTAATTTATTTTGTCATTTATGCATTTGATCTTCTGTCAAACCGGAAGGATGTATCTGGTGGGATTGCCAAAGCGTCTAGCTCTTTCCACCTTTCCCTGTCCCTGTTAGTACTCGTTGTGCATAGAGAATACACTGGCAAAATTTGCAGCTTGTGAGTTGAGAGGGTTAGTGGATGTTTTGGAGGGTGGGATTAGATAGCTAAATGACCAAGATTAAATTTAAATTCAGTGGAAAAAAAAGTGGGAAATGTTGTGCTTATGTAGGTGTAGCCAGCTGAGTGCCAGGGTGGCTGAGGAAAGCTCTGTGGAGAAAAGCCTGAAAGTCAATGTTATACAATTCTGTAAAGAATCATACTAAAATACAAAAAAAAATGTGCCACAAGTAATTTGGTCTCAGATGGAGCGTTGCATTTAGCCTTTTAAATGGCTGTACTGGATAGTGTAGTACCCTTATTCCAGCAGTCATCAGAAGTGAGTGCATAAGGAAAGTGTAACAGAAAAAGCAAATAAAATAATTGCCTGTAAAATTCTATGTGCTCTTTAATGGTTTGCAGTTCAGAGATGTTCTATGGTGGATGGTGTTTCTGTGTAGTTAGTAATTTTAAATGCATTTTTTAATCCATGAGCTTATGCAGCCTTTCCTTACACTTGCATAAACTTTTGGTGTCCATTTTTAGATTGACATATCCCATTTCAGTAGACAGAGATCAGTTTGGGAGTCTGTAGGAAAGCAATAAAGATGACATGCCACCAAGAAAACTGTCCTCTTCCTCCTTCTGCAGCGCTCCATTTTGTAAGCTCTTTGTATATCAATTACGTCTCCCTTAAATCAACTATGTTGAAAGGAAATAGATAAACTATTCTTATAGGTTCTAAAGCCAGGACAAAAATCATAGGCCTAAATTGCTGCAAGAGAATTTAAGTTGAAGTGTTAGGAAGACTTGAAATGCTGTTTGGTTAAATATGGCAAGAAGTTTTCTAGTAAGGTTTGTGGAATGGTTTGGATCTATTTGTTTCTCGTGATTCAGGAAGAGACCTGGCAAAGCCTAAAAGGAGCTTCTGAAAACTTCTGCAATTTGATAAAAGTACTAATTGTTTGTTCAGAAACTTACAGCTGTGGCATCTCAGCAGTGCATTACAGTACTCAGACTTTTTTCCCTCTTTACAGAAAAGTATAAATCCACTCACCATGAATTGAATATAAAGTATTTCATCATAAGATGTGACTTTGATAAAACTTCGCTTGATCTTAGTTTCCAAAGAAATTGAGAAAGAAGACAGATTCTCAAAGGTCACCAATGTTTTGCAAAAGTTCTCATGTTCTGAAAAAATCTGGCTCTGGCAAACATGAGATATCTTGACCAATCTGAAACTCCACTACAGCTTGATTCTGTACAATTTAATATATAGGAATTAGTGCCAGCCCTTTGATTTGAGCATGAATGTGAGCTGTGAGCCTGGTCCGTAGTTGAAGCCACAAGTATTGTGTCCTGGTAACTGCTTGCTTTGCTTAGTTCTGTAATTATGCAAAAGAATCGATTGTTTTGCCAGTGCCTTGTGTGAAAGGGTAGATGAAGCCCGGTTAATTTCAGGAGATTCAGGTACGTACCAAACCTATAACTTGTACAGGAATACATCCCAAAGCATAGATGGAGCACAGGAGCTGCCGGAGGGAGAGCTAGGCAATATCACCCCTGTGCCCCTTAGGCCAGGCTCTTAGAACAGGGGCTTCTGCACTGCTTAGGTGTTCTCCGTCTGTTGTTAGCATCTTCCTTGTACCTGCTACCCGTGGACTATGTTTGCATAAATGCTATTGGCAGCATGCTTTTGCTGAAGTCTGTTCTACTTTGAGGCTAGGTTCTGCAGGTAATTCGATTCCTTAGGTATTTTCCAGTTTCAGTCTGAATTAGAAATCCTGCAACTGACTTGAGAGAATTGTGTTCTTTTACTTATAATCTCTCTTCCCTGCATGTCACATGAATAATAGTGAAAAAAACAGAAACAAACCTGAGTTTGAGAAGACAGCACTTTTTTGTGGAAAAACTTGGATGATTTTTATGTCTACTGGTTTGGAGAACTGCTTCAAACTTCTCTAAAATCCTCTTTTTAGCGTTAGCAAAATGCTCATTGTGGCTAAACATCTGGCTGATAAACCAGGATTTTTCATAGTAATCAAAGTGTGTGGAGTGTAGTGTGAAAGACTTACTTCCAAGACTTGAAGACTGGATAGACTTGATCCCCCTCCTCCCCATTCCGGAACTCAATTTGGGAGAAAAAATATTTTGCACTACTTACATCTGTCCTTTGTGTACCAATGTAAACTTTGTGCAGTTGGGACCAGTTGTAGTTGCATGGTGTTGGGTTTTCTCCTCTGTAATGCAAACGTCTTTTCACACTGTTCTTGCTGTCTGATCAGTTTAATTATTATGAGCTTTCATTATGGACGTCTGGTTATGGTAATATATAACACTTGTAAACGTGGGAAAGGATCAGATGCCAGGACTTACATATTCAGAGATCGAGATTTGTCTTCTCTTATGATATGTGTGTTTTTCTGAGGACAGAAAGACCACTGAGAAATATCATTCATCATAAAACAGCAGCAGGAAGTGGTATGAGAAAGTTTTGCAACAGCATAAATAGCCCAAATTATACATTATTTCCTTTTGGAAAGTTTGGGTTGTTTTAATTATTTCAATATGGCTGCATAAAACAACATAATCTTAACAGTTTTGTGTTGGCTCACAGTTTGTGTAATTTTTTTAGAATGCTCTTTCTGTAGTTGCGTACTGGTATTATTGTCTTATGATTATAGAATTCCACTAGAAGTATGAAATGTATGCCAAAAAAAATCAGCGAATTCTTGGCCCATAGAATTCATGAGGGAACATTCAGTTGTTATTTAAGATGCCCTGTCTCCACCTCAAATCATAAAATTCCTGCATCATAAGGAGTTTACAAAGAAGGCTGTGTTTGTGGCTCGCTATAGCAGAAGCTGGAAAAATGCTGTATGTCTTTACCATTTGTACGATAGGAGCATTATCCCATCTGCCGTAATGATGCTTCAAGGAACATGTGTAAGTCGAACTGTTCTTGGCAGAATGCTGCTTAAGAAAACAAAAGCCAAGCCAGCCTGACGTTAGGTTTTTTCTTTAGAATGAAATCTAACTATTGCAATCAAACTCGCTATCTCACAGTTCAAAAAGTATTCTCTGTTATCCCTCCAGTTCCCAATATCCTCATCGTCAAAGAGATGATCAGACGGCTGCAGGAGCTGCGTCATACTGAGCAGGTGCAAAGAGCGTACGCTCTCAATTGTGGAGAAGGTGCCACAGTCAGTTACGAGATTCAGATTCGCGTGCTGCGGGAATTCGGGCTTTCTGACGCTGCTGCTGAACTTCTGCAGGTATGAAAAATTGCTGCATAGGACCACAGGTGCTTGGATTCTGTTCTGCTTATGAGCTGGCTTGAACGTGTAATCTGCAGTACGAGAACCGCTTTGTGTGCGCGCACGCGGGTGTGCAAATGCTTCGAAATGCCTGCGTAACTGCAGAACTGTCCAAGCGCGTATTACAGTGAGACTATGGCATTTGAATGCTGGGATTTTATAAATGGTTAAGTGCAATGTATAAATATTTTTCTCAAGAGATGTTGTCATTCAGGGTGCTCTTACTGCCGCAGATTTTGAGGACAAAAAAAATCTGCCAAAGGGGCTGTTGATGAGAATAGTCAAACCCTAACTAGAAATCTAGATTATGATTTATTCGGGGATCAGAGAGGAAAGAAAGTACTAACTGATACAGTAGGTCTGCGTAGTACTTGTCAGGACTGGGAAATTGGAAA